TGCTTCTTGCCTGCAGTTCCAGTACATCTTCTGCTCGCTTGATGCTGACCTTGACCTGGTTTTGACTATGCTCCTGTTTCCTGACTTTGCACTCCTGCTGTTCGGTTGTCGCTGACCTCTGCCCGTCTGACTATGCATCTGAGATCCAGTATCTTTGCCTGCTCCAGCTCTGAATCTGCTTCCAAGATATTCTGAACCCGATCTCCTGCAGGCATCTGTGCTACTCTGTGCCCTGTTATACCTTGGCATCATCCCCAGGGGAAACAGGACAAGAGGAATAAGGGCAGCCCACTCGTCAGGTCGGACTCGACCAGGTATGTGACAATAGGTCTCAAGAAAAAGAGGTAAGTTAGATTTGAGCTGTAACTTATTGAAATAGATATTGTGAACCCTGATATTTTCAGCGTACTTATTAATTTCAGAACTTGCAACTAAATGAATTATAAGTGTGTTTTTTTTAAGGATTTGTGGTTTGTGGGCCTAGTGCATTGCAGAAAACTTCATGCAGCTTTCCAATATTGGGTTTGAATGGTTAAAATGCTTATAAGTGCTTATTTCAGAAAGAGCAGCTTAAATGTCAAAAGCCAAAATAATATCTCTGTCATTTTGGACACAAAAGTACTACAGATAAGGGAAAAAACATTCTTGAGATAACTATCCTAAGAGGTGAGCGAAAGAAATTTAGCAAAGGACTATAAAATATCAAAGCCACCTTGCCAGACTGCTAAAGCTCTGTGGGTATGAGCATCCTGGTCAAAGACAACTTATGGACATCATTTGAGCTATTCTAAGTAGTGGATTTTATTATGATTCACCATGATTCAATAGGTTTAGCAAAAACATATAAATAAAGTGCAGCGCTAAACGTTTATAGATAATGACAAATATTCGATCAATATTCGATCAATATAAGAAGTCCTCCTGCAAATAGATGAAAGAGAATGGGTGCTCAGGTGATCAGGTGACTTGATCCTGGTATCCGTGCACGTAAGTGATAAAGCAATGCGCACTCACCAGGCCCGCATAAAATATGCGCCTTTGTGTATAAATGATCCAGATGTCATCCGGTACTGGGTGGTCCTCCCTCAGCTGTATATGAGGCTGATGATCCTCTCCACTTAGGGGTCCCCCTGATGTTTAATGGTAAGCGATCTGGTCCGGGTCCCTCCGGTGTATCCAGGAGTAGGTCTGCAAATTAGAGTGCTCCCCCAGGGGGTAACAAAGATACTCCCATAGTGTAGTATTTGGTAATAAAATAAGGTTTTATTGAGGTTAGGCATAAAACGTTGCAGACAGTTATTAGTGCACAACTAACCGTCTGGAATGCTAAGATGGCCGCCAGAGCTCCGTGTTGCTCTGACGGCGTGACTTCACGGCGTGTTATGGCTCCTCCTTACGCGCGCCATTTTCCCTTGGTCTCCCCGGGTGAATAAACAGTACAGGCGAACCGTCTGTATATTCAATACTGTAATGTGCTAAAATTACACAGGGCAAAAAGTATAACGCCCTAGAGCAGAGAACGGATAAAAACATTTCTATATTTACGCTATGGTAATAACCATACCCCAGCAGAAATACTGGATTAGTATGAATAATAGCTTAATAATAAGCAACTAAAAGAGGAGTTTTGGGGATAATCTATGTTACATATGGAAAATATAGCTAGAATTACTGCGCATGTGCGGATCAGAAAATACATAATAAAATCAAAAACAATAAAAGTATCAATAAAAATCAATTTTGGTAAACAATAATAATATGTATCAGCCAACTCCAAATTCGGCTAAATATTACATATAGAAGTGGTGTAACATCGTATGGCCCACATGGATACAAAAGATAATAATAAATCCTTACATACAGATGTGAGGTATTAGATAAAAGCAAAAGACAGAAATAGAGTATCCGGTTTCTAAATATTACTAGGACCATAGATGAGTGTAAAAAATGTATAGAAACATGAAATATATTAAAAATGGGTACACATAATATATATATATATGTATGAAAACATACATATATATGTATAAAAATAACATAACCGTAAAGTGGTAAAGATGGTATAGAAAGAAAGAACTGTAAATTGAGATCGTTCATCATAGAGAACAACAGAGGACGGGTGATAAGAATAAGTAAAATGTGTAAAATGTGTAATGACCCAATTAACTGTTCTCAATAAAACAGTTAATGTCTACCTCTATATTGAGTCCCTTAGGTTGTAAAGAATGGAGCTCATATATCCATTTCATTTCTAATTGTGACACAGCTCTTTTTTTGTGCATTCCTCTCCAGTGAGGTTTGATTAAGTCTATTCCTTTAAATTTAAGTGAGGTAGGGTCTTTATTATGAAACCTCCTAAAATGATTCGAAACCGAATGTTCTCTGTATCCACGTTTTATATTATTGACATGTTCCCGTAACCTATCCCTTAGTCTCCTGGTGGTACGTCTAATGTACTGCAACTTGCACGGACATTCGAGCAAATAAACGACAAATTTACTATTACAAGTAATAAATTTGTTAATATTATAGGTGTTACCCGTTATGTGTGACATAAAGGTGGTTTGTTTATGTTTTCTAGTGTTATCACATCTACAAGCTATACATTTATTACATGGATGGTAACCATTCAGGTCATTAAATAAGGAGATCTCTTTGGGAGGGTCTATTACGTTTGGTGCAAGATAGTGGCGTAGGTTAGTCGCCCTCCGGAAAACAATCTCTGTTTTTTCTGGTAATATATTAGCGAGTACTGGGTCGGCTTTTAGAATCTTCCAATTCTTATAAATGATATGGTTAATTTCTTTATATTGTCTCGAAAATGTCGTAACAAACGGACATACGTGGCTTTTCTTAGGCCTCTGTTTATCAATAAGGAGGTCATTCCTATTTAGGTGTGCTACAGAGTCAAAAAGATTGACATCCTGTTAATCTGTTAGCACAGACATGCATCTGTATTTAAAAAGCCTTGCATTCGAATTTCCTAGGTAGACTATGCTATTTCAATTCAATGGACCAGGAAATGCACACGCATAGTGCAGTACATGTGCCCGGCTTCACTACAAAGCAAAATACTGTCCATTCCTGAACAGTTAATGGTGGTTTAGCTAAGAATCTGAGCCAGAGGTCTAACTTGAAGCTTGTGGGCCCCAATGCAAAAGTTGACCAACCTGGGGCCTCCCACTATCACCCTCCACTTCCACCACGTGCCAACATGCTCAAAGTTATTTCAGATCTTTATTTACACATTGAGAGGGCAATTCAAAAGATTTTGGAGAAGCTGCCCACATTCAGAAATACCTCTTCAATTATTTTGAATATTTGTAAGCAGACCCCAGTGTATGTAAAAACACTATCAAGAACATATTACAACCTTTTATTTCCATCCCCCCAGTGAAATCATTAAACTCTCTCTCTCTCTCTCTCTCTCTCTCTCTCTTCTCTTCTCTTCTCCTGTTCTCTTTCCTTGTCTCTCTTTTTTCCTCTCTCTCTTTCCTTCTTGCTGTCTACTCCTCTCTTACTGTCTCTGTCTCTTAACTTCTCAAACTTTACTTCTATCTCTTTCTCTCTTTCCGTCTTTCTCTCCCCCATCTCTCTCTTTTTCTCTTTCCATTTCTCTCTCCCCCCTTCTCTCTCTCATTTTCTCTTTCCCTCCTTTTTCATCTTCATTTAATCTCACTGCATTAGTTCAGTGTCAATTCACACGAGAAACTGCATGTAATATGCACAGTGACACAATTCCTGTGCAATTCACATGCAGTTCTGCACAGTGCAATCTCAGCCCATTCATTTTGAATAGACAGAAATTGCAACACACCACAAGTATTGCATGAACTACTGTTTAAAATGCACTGCAACAAAAGTACCATGCGATCTGGTGTGGGCAAACACACTGCTTACTGACACCCACTGCAGATCACAAATGGAGTGTGTTTTGCATGCAGTGTGAATTGCACAGGAACGCACAGCACATTCCCATGCAATTCCTTTGCAGGCATGGTGTGAACCAGCCCAGGTTTCTTTAGGTGTTCATCTCTCTCTCTTTTGTCTGTATGCAATAAAGTAAATAAAAAGGGCCCTTGAACCCCTCGTGTATTGTTTGTTACTGTATTGTCTCATGTACTGTCCCCCACTATAATGTACAGCGCAGAGCAAACCTTTTGGCGCTATATAAATACTGTATAATAGTAATAATAATAAAAGTTTGGGTTACTGCGCACTGAAGGACATTTCCATTATACAGGCTCAAATAATACAGGCAATCAGTGTTTAACCATTCCCAGGCAGGACTGTAGTATCCATAATGTGAAAGTTAATGCTTCTGTCTGGTAAACAATTGCCACATTAACACATTTTACCTGTCTGTACCAGGGGCAGACTGACCATTTGGAAACTTGGGCATTGCCCGAGGGTCAGTAGGGGGCCCCATGAGATGCCCCTGGTACCTTTTTCATAGGCTTTTTTGTGTGGGCAAGGACACAGGGGCCCCATGATCCCCTATTGATCCCCTATTGCCCGGGGGCCCCATGAGTTGTCAGTCCGCCCCTGGTCTGTACAGAGTTTGGACTACAGAGCCTGCCGAGGGTGATTCCTTATCTGCCCTACAAAGAGCACTGACTGGACTGACACAGGGAGATGGACTCTCAGCCTCCGAACGTCTGCAACTCTTCCTGTTCTCTTTTCATCTTGTGTCCAGTTCTAGATAGGAGATCACTGGGAATGTGAGGAGGGGGCTGTGCAGAGAGAGATAGTATATTTTATCAGACAAGGTTTCTTGACAGGATGACTAAGGGGTGGATGTTAACTCTTTCAGCGAAGTAGAAGGAAAACAGCACATTGCGATACACTGGAGAAATCTGCTTCTGCTTTAAAAAAACAGGAGTTGACAGGCAGTCCTCAGGGCCCCCTGGAGCAGGGGCAAGGTTGCAACTGCGACTTCTGAGACCCCTGTTGTTATGCCAGTGATCTGAGCTCTTAAAATTTTTTAGTTTCTGTCATGAGGTAGCGCGAGATAGTTTGCACATTTGTTTTTAACCAAACCTACATTTTAAGTGAATCTATGCTTTGTTAATAAAGTCCAATGCAAACCAACTACTCCAACACATATACTTGTCCACTGCTTCATTCAGCTGCTGATAGCAGGGGCGGACTGACCATTTGGAAACTCGGGCACTGCCTGAGGGCCCGGGGTCAGTAGGGGGCCCCATGAGATGCCCCTGGTACCTTTTTCATAGGCTTTTTTGAGTTTGGGCAAGGACACAGAGGCCCCATGATCCCCTATTGCCTGAGGGGGGCCCATGAGATGACCGTGGTACCTTTTTCATAGGCTTTTTTGAGTTTTGGCAAGGAGACAGGGGCCCCATGATCCCCTATTGCCCGGGGCCCCCCATGAGTTGTCAGTCCTCCCCTGGCTGAGAGTGAAAAAAGAACAGTTGTGTAAGTTACTAGAGTTATAACTCACAGAGACCTATGGACTTTCCTCTGACTGTGCTGTTCACATGCTTCAAATTGGTCACATACACAGCAAGTACTGGGTATTTTGCTATGGCTCCTGACCTAGAATAGAGCCAAGTATAGATTTCTGGAAATAAAGGTAGGGGAGGGGTTAAAGCAAACCTATTGCTTTACCCAGTCAGGATGCTTCAAAGCATCCCATGCAAATATCACCCCTCTCAATGCAACATGTTTTCTTCTTGTCACATATCTTAAACCAAGTATGTCACAGCATTACTAAGCCATTAATGTTTTCTGTTGTAAAATTTTATATTTATTTGGGCTTGGGTCACTGCAGTTTTTGATTTTCTTTTTCCTTTTGTTCTGGTTAGCTCAGAAAACAAAAGTCTTCAGGAAATGATTAAATTTTCATTTAGGGTCACTTTCCACAGCATGCTTTCTTCATTCCCTTTCTTCTTACGAACCTTGTCTTAAAACTCTATTAATGTAGCATATATTTATGGTCCCTTGCAGTCACACTGCAATAAAAAATTGATAAAACCTTTAGTCCTTTTAGTGGGTCTTGTTCTTTATTATGGTAGAGTTATTTTCTACATTTTACGCTCAGAATATGTTCAGTATATTATCCTGTATAAATTACTGAAAGTAATTGCTTAGTTATTTTATAGCCCAGTCACAAAGTATTTTTAAATGTTATTAAACTTTTTTTTTTAGGCTGGACGCTACAAATGCTATAAATTTCATAGCAGCCCGAGTCTGAAAAAGAGGTGTCTTAAGCTTTCTGCGCTTGTGATGGCGATTTAATAAACAGTTGAGCTGAGACACAAACTCCCTCTAAATTACATTTCCACATGGACTTGAGTTCACACTGTTTATTAAAAAATCTTTCTCCAGTTGTTTTAATAGAGTGTTTCAGATTAATGGCCCCAGTGGAGTTTAACTGCATTTCACTTCATTATTGTGAGATTGGACAAAAGGTTACTTCAATTAAATTCAAAACTTAACCTTAAATCTGTATAGATTTTTTAAGAAAATGTGATAAAATTGCCAGGCGAATCTTTCAAGATTAATGGACAACATCCATTTTGCTTTTGCCAATGCCAAATATTTTTCTGTTCTAGTTTTGCACGCAGATGAATAGTGGCATTTTATGGTGTTGAAAGCCAATTTCCAATTGTATAAATGGGATGTGTGGACACTAGGGATTATTTAAACATTAATACTCCATGATAAGGGCTTTATCTATCAGTAATTTCACAGTAGATATATTCATTCCTCTAAATCATTTAATTATTGATACTGAGTGTGGGGGTATGAGGTTAACAAATTTGTATTCCTTTTACTTTTAGACTATATATTACAGTTTTATTCATTACAGTCTCTTTACGGTTATAACATATCATTTTGTCCAGAGTATTTTTCACTGGTTTGTGTGACTGCATTTTAAGTTGGAGAAAATAAACCTAGAAAGCCTATTGCTGAAATAAAATGTTTTCAAGTGGTAAAAGTATAAATTACTCTTTTAGGACAGGTAGGGCTTAACTCAGTTTTAACGACTTACACCTTTTCTCATTTTATGTAATTATATAGGGCAATATGTAGAACAGCAGGATGTACTTTTTTTTTTGCATAAGGCCCCTTTCACACAGAGCGGACCCATCAGCGGATCCACTTGCTCAATGGAGGATCCCTGCTGAGCAAGCGTATGACAGATCTGTGTCCTCTTCGCTTATGCAGAGTGGACACAGACACGGCCCACTGTCCTCTATGGGTGGTCAGATGGAAACAGACCGCCTGTCCATTTCCATCCAACTGCCATCCAATCCGATGGATGGAAGGGGAACAGATCGGATTGGATGTTGGCGGGTGTAAACGGACACGTCGCTCCATAGAGAATAGAGGTTCCAATCGGGTCCACCTGAAAAACAGGCAGGCAGACCCAATTGGAACATCCGAGTGAAAGGGGCCTAACGTAAGCATCTTTGTTTCACTAACAGAAATTATCTGATTTTCTTGATACCCCAGCTGTTTTCTGTTTATAATCTTCTACAGCTCTACCTACCCCACAAGTAAAATAGCCAGCCGACACTAATCAGTAAAACAAACATTCAAAATAAAATATAATGAATATGAAGGTATTACGTAATAGACATGCAGCACATAAATGAATGACACCAAATCAATCATTCTTAGGCAAAAGCTATTTTAGCATAGTGTCTACATTACATGCATTAGTCCAGTAATCTATTCCCACCCACTGATGTTCCAAAATAGCATTCCCCAAAATTATATATATATATATATATATATATATATATATATATATATATATATATGCCTTCCCAGACCATCACTGACCCACCACCAAAACCGTCATGCTGAACGATGTTATAGGCAACATAACATTCTCCACGGCTTCTCCAGACCCTTTCACATCTGTCACGTGTGCTCAGGGTGAACCTGCTTGCATCTGGGAAAAGTACAGGGTGCCAGTAGCAGAACTGTCAATTCTGGTGTTCAATGGCAAATGCCAATCGAGCTCTATGGTGCTGGACAGTGAGCACAGGGCCCACTAGAGGATCAGGCCACCCTCATGAAGTCTGTTTCTGATTGTTTGGTCAGAGATATTCACATCAGTGGCCTGCTGGAGGTCATTTTGTAGGGCTCTGGCAGTTCTCATCCTGTTCTTCCTTGCACAAAGGAGCAAATACCAGTCCTGCTGATGGGTTAAGGACCTTCTAAGGTCCAGTCCAGCTCTCCTAGAGTAACTACCTGTCTCCTGGAATCTCCTCCATGCTCTTAAGACTGTGCTGGGAGACACAGCCAACCTTCTGGCAATGGCACATAGTGATGTGCCATCCTGGAGGAATTGGACTGCCTGTGCAACCACCGTAGGGTCCAGGTATCGCCTCATGCTACCTGTAGTGACACTGACCCTACCCAAATGCAAAACTAGTGAAAAACAGTCAGAAAAGATGAGTAGGGAAAAAAAGTCAGTGGCCTCCACCTGTAAAACCATTCCTGTTTTGGGGGTCTTCTCATTGTTGCCCATTTAGTGCACCTTAATTTTATTAACACCAAAGCAGCTGAAACTGATTAACAACCCTCTCTGCTACTTAACTGACCAGATCAATATCCCAGAAGTTTAATTGACTTGATGCTATACTCTGATTAAAAAGTATTCCTTTATTTTTTTTTTTTAGCAGTGTATATATATATATATATACACTGGGACTGATGCGAATGTGCAATATACATGAAAAGTAAATTGACGACCCTGTGTAAGTACCTGTAATAAATAAATGACTACATCCCCTGTACCCAGGGCCACTCACCGCTCCTGTAAATGCTGGCTGTTAGCACCACTCACTGGTAATCCTGCCTCGCAAAAGCTGATATGCCACTGGTGGTATCTTGATATCATGAAGCTCCACCCTACACATTCCGCTGACTGAGTGTGATGTCGGGGCGGACTGACTATTTAGGAACTCGAGCACTGCCCGAGGGCTCGGGGTCAGTAGGGGTACCTTTCATAAGCTTTTTTGGGTGTGGTTTGAGTGTGGGCGAGGACACAGGGGCCCCATGATCCCCTATTGCCCAGGGGACCCATGATTTGTCAGTCTGCCCCTGGTGTGATGATTAACCTATTGGAGAGGAAAAGTGATATAAGGACCTATGAACCACTGGGTTCCATTTTAGAAGGTGAAAGCACTACTGGTGATTGATCAAAGTGGAGCTGGTACATGGTGGAGCACAACAGTGAAATTGTAGTTTTGTGCAGAGTTGCACATTGAAGTGTTTTGAATAGAAGACAATATATATATATATATATATATATATATATATATATATATATATATATAAAATTTTGGGAAACATTATTTTGAAACATCAGTGGATTGGAGTAAAATTGGACTAATGCATAGAATGTGGACACTATGATACAAATAATTTATGTGTAAGAATGATTGATTTGATGTTATTTGTTTATACGATGCAAATCTGGTTTGTAGCTCCAGCCTTTATATTCATTATATTTTACCCCAGCAATTTTGTTTTCAGTCATAAAATGTTATTCATTCATTACTTCAGTTTTCAACCCCTCTACCATATCACGTATTCTCATAACCCGAAGCATTGTTCATTGGCAGTGTCAGCTGGAGAAAATGAACCTGGCAAGCATACTGATAAAATAAAATCCTTTAAACCACTTCTGTCAACTTTGTAGATTTAACAACCTGAACAAAATTTTCAATTGTGTTGATGCATCTTATGGAAAAAAATACTTCAAGGATACTGGTAGCAGAATGTTAGAAAACTGTTATAGAAGTCAATGTAATCAAATAAAAAAATCAAATGAAGCCGGAAAGTGCAAAATAATTTTTTAGCTTCTAGATAATTTATTGTTAAATCATTTTCTAGACTTCAAGATCTTCTTTTTAGATTTTTTTTTAATTCTTTATTTTGGTAACAGCACATGGCAGTGTATTTTACATCTCCAGAGACCCATACAAGTGATCAACATAGTACATGAGAAACAGACAGTGTTATTCATACCTCATATCTTCCCTGAGTAGTTGGGCTCGCAGGTCTAACTCTGTAAAAATGGAAGACACCTTCTTTTTAGATTTTAAATGATAACATTAATTGAAAGCTTTTCCACGTACGGCATATCGCTGGCTAATACACCCATAATTCCTTTGATAAATCACCAAAATACTTTGGGGGGTATTTACCAAACCTGGAGAACTCAGAATCTGGTGCAGCTGTGTATGATAGCCAATCAGCTTCTAACTTCAGCTTGTTCAATTAGGCTTTGACAACCTGGAAGGCGACTGGTTCCTATGCAGAGTAGCACCAGTTTTTGCATGCTCCAGTTTTAGTAAATCTCCCACTTTATGTAATTTTATGCAGGTGCATTATTTTTCTATAATGTGCAGTTAGAAAATGTATAAATTATTTAAATGTATTATTAACATTGTAGAAATATTACTGAATTTATCCCAGTTTTATTAAGTGTTGTTTGTTAGTAAAGAGAATCTGTCACTTGCCTCTTTAGGACTCTCTGTTCCTCTGCCACTCTGCTTATCTGGCAAATTGTTGTCACAATAGAAATCCTAGTCACAGGCTCAGCATTTCGCCTTTTATCAGGGATCAAACTAGAATATTGGTAACCCTAAAGCACAAGCTCCTACTGCTCATTAATAGAATTGGTGTGGTGGTGGGGATATAAAGATATAAAGAGCAAATCTCAGCAACTTGAGTCAGGTAGGTTTTAATATGTATGGAAAAAAACAGCAATATCAGAGGCTAAATTTGGGGGGTATAAGTGAGATTCCACAAGCAACATGTATTATAATGTACATTAAAAATATATGCCCTGCATGTTTTACAAGAAGAAAGTCCAACTCAATGAGAATTTAAAAATAAATTCCTTACAGCGCCCCCCCCCACTTCATCACTTACTTTACACGCCATTAATCTCCCCCTCCATCCGAAGGTCTGGTCTGTGGGTGGAGCCTCATCATCACCTGCAAAGCATTAACCCTATATTGCATGCTTTGGACTCTGGAGTAGACCTGGTCACAGCTAACAAAGGAGCCACAAGGGACTGTTTGCTGTGCTGGTGGGAGCCTGCTGCAGTAAGGAAGAAGGTAAGTATTTTCTCCCTAATCCTCTGGTACTAGACATACTGAGCAAATAACCTTTGCAGTTGAAGATGGATTTTTTGTAGTTCCAAGAAATTGGGCTTTATATATGTACATTGACCTTAACCTCCCTAGCGGTCTGATTATGTCCATATTTCTGTGCTCAAAGCGGTACATTTTTTTTGCATGGAAATATGTTTTTTTTTTATTGTAGGCCTGTAATTTTTAGGAATAACTCACTGAAATCTGTCCGAACAAGAGTCTAGTAAACATCCCGGGTAGGATAAAACTTGAAACACGAAATCAAAAATGATAATTTAATAAATAATCATAAAAAATAATAATATAATAATAAATTTAATTCAATAATATAATCAAACCAAACACACTGAAATTTGAAATATAGCGCCAAGTTCGCACATCACTGAGCAAAGTTGCAAAATCGTTTTCAGTGTCTGATGATGAATTTCCCCACAAATCATTATCACTCAATTCTGCAAGTAGTTCTGATTTACTGTTCTCTAGCTGGTCTAAAACCGCTTTTGACCTAAAGGGACACTTTTTGGACACCATGGACGTTTCTCAGTTTCAAGGCAGAAAGAACAGTAAACATGCAGGCAGGGCACAGGACAAAGCACTCGGGACAAAATGTATGTCAAATGGTTTGATACAGTAATGTTTTACTATGTGATTTTTGTGATTTTACTGAATGTCACTTTTTGTCATTTTCAAATTTCCCGCCGTTCCGTCCCCTGTACGTCCCGACGCTCACAGGGGACGGAACCCAGATGACAGATGCCGGCATCTGCCGGATTACATTGCCGGGGACACTGCAGGAGGGACATCGTGGGAGCGCAGGACAAGGTAAGTAATCGAGGGATCCTGGAGCAGAGCCGCATGGTAAGCCCGAGTGTAGCTCAGAGTTACCGCTTGTGGTACTGAAACTTTACCACGAGCTACACTCGGGAATACCGTCAGGGAGGTTAAAGTATATATGAACCCTAATCTTGTAAAAAACCTATTCAGTTTAAAATAGAAATGAAAGACATACTGTATGCTGTATGTATATAAAAGAAATATATATAACAATATAAATACCTCTTTTCCCCTTTTATTTATAAGTGATTGCACACCTTCTGTGGGAGAAGGAACAGCAGCACACTAATCTTCCCAGTGAATGGCTGTGTGTGGGGGCATGTCAGCACAAGTCTGACCATTGGAAGAAAGCAGGCTGAGTTCTCAGCACAGCTAGAAAACTGACCACACTGTGCTCTCATGGCTAGCTTGGTCAGTTTGTAATAGGAAAGCAAAGGGACTTCCTGGAACAGCAGGTTTTTTTTTACACAAATGAAGTAATACAAAGGGAACTGGATACTTTTTAACACAACCAAATGGTACAACAAGCACATATCAGGAATATGAAATGTTGGGTTTACATATTCTTTAACTCTCTGCTTGCTCACCCTTTGATTGCTGTTTACCTTTAGTAAACATATTAGGACACAGAACTCCATTCCATTTCCCAGATGTTGGTGCAGTAACTCTCCATATATCATGCATGCCCAGTCTCTCATAAGTTTTTGCTTTTAATGCATGACAGCTCAAAAATATGAATACAGCACCTGGATGGTGATCATTCTGAGAGATCAGTCATATAATGATGAATATTCAGCTCTGCCCTGCATATCCATACTCAAAACAGCATCAGTCAACAGAGGATCACTGAGCTGCTGGCAGAAAGTTTTTTCATGTATTTCCAGGTTTTATATTGGTTAAAATTTATTTGAACAGTAATTTATTTAACCTATGCATAATGCTTTTATACACAGAGGGCAGTTTCACATAACTGAGCACTGAACTGCATGCTGTAATAAACATTTTTCAATAGCTAAAGTTTTTACCCTCTGCTTATTATCATACATCATTGACAGATTTATATTTCTTTAATGTGAAAACCATAATAAAATGCCATGTCATTCAAAACAATCATTCCAGGATAAGACCAGCTGACCTGAGATGTTGGTACACTTTATGGAAATGTTGCAGTAACTAAGAAATCAAGCAAAACAAGGTTCATTCACAGTACATAGTTGACAGTAACAATAAATCCAAAATAGTGTCAATGAACATTAAACTGCTCATGCTGTATAGTCAGTACCAGTGCATATAACATGGGTCTGTCTGGTATGATCATGACCATCGGCGTTTGACTACCCAACCTAGAATACTGAGTAAATGAACTTTATGTGATGGTTTGTGGGAGAACATCATTTGACATCAGAGAAAGACCATATAGGGAGTTGAAGTAAGAGTAAAAGGGAGAAGTCGATGTTGGGAAGGTAAACAAGGGGTGCTATCCCGATCCTGCCAATGAACTTGGAGACAGGTGCAGTTTGTATTCTCCACTACAGATGGCGCTGGACCTCAGCGGCAATTCAAAGGGTAGAGGAAGTGGAGGGAAACATGGTTTCTCTATGACTTCCTCAGTCACACAGGACAGTGATACAGTTGAATGCTCTGGTCCAATGTGACCCGGGTGGCCATCTTGGGTCAAGCAAAGTCTATTTAGAATGCTGAGCCTGGGTTTTGGCAAACTTTATGAGAGTGGAAAGAGTAGGGACAGGTTCCCTTTCTGTCAGGGACAGTGCTAGCAAAAGGGAGTAGGAAAAGAACAAGGACTATGTCTACCTTCCCAGGAAACGTCCCCTTTTGAGTTGGACTGGCCAGGTCTCACTTCGCTCCAGATGCTGTCGGTATCACTGAGTCTCCCACGAGTGTTCCTGGTAGGGTGAGCCTCCACGCCGGGACTTTTTGTACTGTTGAACTACTTTTACAATACATCGCCTTTTGCAAATCGGGACTCTTTGTGCTTAATGCCTGCCACACCACTCACTCAACAAACTAAATTTTGCCCAGGGAAAGTTTGTGCAAACCAATTTTGATTTTTACAATTTCTGTGAGTAGTTTTACATAAGGGATCATCTGTAGTTAAGTT